ACTTTTAGTGGGAATTTGTTACAGACCACCAAATGATACTGATGAAATTAGTGAGAAATTTTACAATGAGATTATGATTTCAGCTGTTAATGAAGTCATAATTATGGTTGATTTTAATTTCAGGCATATAGATTGGGAAATGCTAGAGTCAAACCCTGAGGGAGAAAGGTTTTTGGAAAATATTCAGGGTGACTTTCTTCACCAATTAGTCAAGTAACCTGCTAGAAACAATACTATTTTAGATTTATTGTTCACTTCATATACAGAAATGATCGAGAGGGTGGAAATTGGGGAACATCAGGGTGCAAGTGATCATTGCTCTATTAGGTCTGATGTTTTGCTGCATATGGAGATAAGAAATAATGATATTTTGGTAACAAGTTTCAAAGATGCAAATTTTTAAGGTATGTGACAAGAATTATCTGTTTTGAATTGGGCAGCTGAGTTATTTGGAGAAGCTGATCAGATGTGAAAAAATTTTAAAGATAAATTTTGGAATATTCAAGATGAATATATTCTTTATAGAAAGAAAAGGGTGACTGCCAGTAACAACTAGGTTGGATCATAGAGAGTACAAGAGATAAAATTAAGAAAAGCATCACAAATTTAAGAAATTTAAGTTGACTGGTATAACAGGAGACATAGAAGATTATAGAAGATCAAGAAAGTTAGTCAAACAGCAAATTAGGGCACCAAAAAGGATGTATGAAGAAAGGTTGGCTGAAAATGTAAAAAATTGACAGTAAGAATTTCTTCAAAAACATTAAGGGTAAACAAAATGTTAGGATGGTGGTAGGACCTTTGAGGGATGATAATTTTGAGATGGCTTTTTCTTCAGTTTTTACTAATCAAGATTTAAGCAATATTCCTCATCTCGAACAGTTGATAAATGGAAAAAGATTGAACAAGGTGATCACATTATTTCTGAGCTTGTTGGGCCAGAAAATATTTCCACAAGACCTTTGAAGGAGGTTAAGGTTATTAAATTTGGTTTTTCTTCCATTTTTACTAAAGAAGGTTTAAGAAGTATTCCACATCTTGAAAAGTTGATAAATGGAAATGAGATCAAACAAAATGACTGCATTAATTCTGAGCTGGTTAAGAAAAAATATGTAGTTTAAAAAAAGATAAGGTTCCTGGGCCAGATAATATTTCCCCAAGGCTTTTGAAGGAGGTTAAACATTGGATATGTGAGCCACTTGCTACTAATTTTTTTTTGCAAGTCTTTGATTATTGGGCAGGTGCCAGAGGATTTGAAGTTAGCTAATGTTACTCCTCTTTTTTAAGAAAGGTGATAAAAACTGTCATACTAGTTATAGGCCTATTAGTCTCACATCTATTGTGGGAAAAGTTTGAAAATTCTGTAAAAAAGATGCTTTGCAACGTCACTTAACAAAGTTTAGAATTTTATTGGTTAATCTTGCATTCCCATGGGAGCATTTTTATCATATCAACATCCTAGAACTGCTTGCTGTTAGATAGGCATGCTCCCAATTCTTTTCCCTCCTGGTGGATTATTTGGATATGGTATATTTGGACAACTCCACAGTTGTGTCACATATCAACTGTCAAGGGGGCACCCTTTCCATGACCCTCTGTTTCCAGACTTTGTATCTCCTTTATTGGAGCCATTCCAACTGAGTGAACTTAATAACCTGCTTATTTATTTTATACATTTATTTATTATTTGCTTTGTATTTTTTTATATAACCTAATAAATTTATAATTTTTATATTTTAGTTACTTCTATATTGATAAGTAAAAGATGTACATAAAAACATGAAATTTAGTACTTATGTGTGAGTCTTGTACTTTTTTTGCAGTTAAAAACTTGAAGTGTTGATAAAAGTGAACCCTAATTTTTGCTAGGGTTGTTTTTAGTATTTTACTTAGTTTTTATTTATTTCATCTCTTCCATTTAGAACACAAAATAATAACATGTACAAAGCATACAATATCCTGTAACTATTATGATTTAATTAACTGGCTTTCTAACTAAGCTATGAGTATTTTAAAGTAATTCCCTTAGCTGGTTGAGCTGAACTTGGAATAGCAACTTTCAAACTGTATACTGAATAATTGAAAAGCGGTCATAAGAATGAGCTAGTATTATACATAAGTAAATAAATTGAAATATACTATTCCTGTTGATTATAAATGATGTAGTAGCAAATGTTAAAGAAAATTAATGACATGTTTTAAAAGATAGTATTAGAGACTATGTCATGTAGGTTTGACATTCTGGTTAACATTTCTGTAAATCAAAAAGTTTGGAAGCTATGTGTTATGTTATCTCAACAATATGTATATTATCATTTGTAATTTTCATTAAAACTTAGAAGGTGAAATAGGGATGGAAAGAATGTGTAAGTGGGCTATTCAGAGCAAACAGAAAAACATAAAAGTAAATATTGAAAATTATTTGAACATTACCTTTTGAAATTGAATTAAATCTTATATAGTATTAAAACTTAATTTATTAACTGTTTTGATGCCAAGTTTATT